TTGCAGATAAATCATACGTACGAAACATGAGCCTTTATAATAATTGTATATAAACGTTTAAGTTACACGTGTGATAAACACATCGTTTTATAATCTATAGGTTCTACCGATTACAAACTTGTACTGTCAAGAAAAACTAGTTTCTACATTCTATTATGCGAAAAGATACCGTAAAATATGGCTTTCAGTATACAATAACAATATGCGCAAATATAAATAACAAACTTATGTGTTGAGAATTAAAATAATTTATACTAGGAAGACGGAACAAAAACCCATATTTCAGAAAAAATCGACTACGTGGCAGTAATCTTGTTCACGAGAAGACAGGATGATAGTCCGGGAAAATGTGAAAATTAAATTCGCTTCATAGCTTTTGTCTAATTCCCTCTAAAAAGTTTTGTAAAAAGTTTTATATATCTTCATGGAATTCATCCAATAACAAAAATATCACACAAAAAACATATTTTAATTCATTAATATAGAAATCACATTTTTACGACTATCATCGAACGATGACATTATGTATCTCACAAATATTTATTAATATCCTCATAAAACTAGTTTTCAAAAAAACATTAAATAATAATAGTTGCCTCTCTCTAGGCCTACGCTGTATTGTTTCAGTGACATTGTTGCTTTATAAGAAACAATTGAATTTGGTTTTAAATAATTGAGTTTATACTCGTAACTTAGTTACATACATATGACAATAAATTTTACTCTTAATAGGCTCAACTTTCTATTTTTATTACTGTAAATTATCAAAGTGTTTAATAATAAAATTATTATCTATGAACTGAAAGAATTTACTAAAATTGTATTGTTTTATATGATACTTTTAGTTTCCTTGTAATTGTTATACATATTTTAACTCTGTTACATATTAATTTACTATGAACTATCCACTAACTATTTCTTGACATCATTAAGGAAGAATAATAAACTAATTAATTTTAATATCTGTATAATTTTAATATTCATATTTTTATATAAAAAACAACACACAATCAGGTTACTAGGTTAGTTCAGTTCTGTTTCTTCGATTCTAACATATTATTATAAATAAAACGTATTTAAATACACCACTCAAATATTAATATTGACATTAAGATATAAATTCAAACACAAATTTCTTGATAAAACTACAATTGCGATTAAGAGTGTATCAATAAGTGACACGATGATGTCACTAGAAAATTTAACGTGTTTCATATTCCTGATAGTCATACAAACTAATACAACTGGTTTGTATGTACCAAATTTTGTACAAATCGTTATAAAGTCGATATAAGACGGGTATACTGTGTATAACAAATGTCCAAATGCTTCCGGATAGCATGAAGAGGTAATAAATGTATGTTCAAAGTTGAGCTGGTGTCTAATTACATTTAAGCCTAATCCATATAGAAGCTAACCGCATACTAGAAACATGAACCTGCCTTCGACCGTGAACTCGCTCGATTGCTGACGTCACCTCTCAAAAACGAACGACCAATTGCATAAGTTTAGGCATTTTATACACGTGGACACAAATCTACGTTCTATCTTCTAATATAGTCAACTGTTGGAACATTTTAATTCATGTTTATTAAAAAGAAATTCAAAGAAAACCTTGTTCAAACTCTGGACATCGACATTAGTTTGAAATACATACGCTATGGTTTTAACCTAGCTGTAAAAATCACAAAATATGACCCAGAAATAAATGTAAACAATTATAAATTAAAATGACATAGTGCTATAAGAAAATTATAATTTTGAAATGAAACAAAACTCTATCATATCCATGTATAGTAATGTCTTAAGATGCTTTAAATGATAATGAAATAATCAAACGCCTACTCCATATTCACTATGACCGCGTTTGTAATTGCCGCTTTCTTTGTTTTGATACGAAACAGCACTATGGATAGTTCTAGCCAATAAAAGTTTGAGAAATATAAAGTACTAGATTATAAAGTTATTACAAGATAAAATTTCCTAGAAAAATCTAAAGACCATACTATTCAAATTTAAATGAAGCTCATACTCATAATAAAAATGATAGGTTGACGCAAATTCTTAATTTTTCTGGCTTGTTTTACTAGTCGCTTTAAAACAACAAGGGGATCTTATTTGTAACTGTAACTTTACTCCAAAAGTAACGTCATGTAAACATGATATTTATACCAAAATTTATTAAGTCATGTGGGAGGTCTTGGTCCTGCAAGATAAGGCGTCAAACATACTGGCAGCTTTGTACAACCAAAATAACAAAATATGCTTCTAATTATTCTTCGGAACGTAAAATTTTTGATAAGTTGTCTCACTAATATTTTAAATTTGAAAATTTGTATGTGTTTTTCTTGTCCATTTCATCATAACACAGACTAATTTAGTAACAAAAATACAGATATTTCGTCCAAAAAATAAGTGTAATCGAAGAGCAAAGATACTTTTAAACTAATTTTATATACAACTATCAGTATAGGGCCTTATTCGTTAATGTTATACAAAGATTACACAACGAACTCGATACTTGATGGTCATGGTTGTTAAAGGTCGATCGATTTTTATCTCTAACCAAGAACAAACAAGGTATTACATATTATCATACAAGGAAGTCACATCCATATTAAGTCGATGCAGATACCATTTTGATTATTTTATACACTACTAAAGAATATATTATTTTATATTACAACACGTTTAGCAATAGGTATATAGAAATTCTTAACCTGTATTTTTACATCACATAGAATAAACATCTTATACAAAAATCATTCCCGTATAAATTAAACTTATATAATAATGTTGAGATTTGACTATTTTGATCTCTGTAATCAATAACTCTTGTTAGTTTGAGACCTACGCGAGTCTAAACGTTGTCATGACAACGAGCCCTTTGCTGAAGTTGCTGTGAGCCATGTTCCTCTGTACATATAAAGGCAAATGTACATTGTAGTATTTAAATCATAATAATATAATATCAAATTAGCAGTTACGTACTGTCCGCTCGACTGTGGGCCTTTAATAATAAAAGTAACAAAATATTACAGCAATATACTAGAAGATATAAAACGTTTATAACTTTTACTGTATCCGTGAACAGTTAAATGAGCGTTTAGGCATATATATAACGTTCGAAGTGCCAATTATTTTGCCAATTAATTTGAATATCCTCCCTACAAAACTGAAAAGTCGCTGCTTCAATTGTTACGATCCTCCCTAATGGTCCGCGGCAATAAAGATGAAAACAATATTTTTGTTACCATTAATTACGACAAAATACACACATTATACTTTACTGGTATTATTATGTTTACTTTTAACATTATTATTTTCTTGATAGAATAGTTATATATCTCTGTTCTGAACTCACCTTTATCCCGTATCTCGAAATTTCGCGTACACTCACTCTGCTAGAGGCGGACTATCTCCGTAATCGACTCCGCGGTGTGAATTTTGAAAGGAATTAACTATATCTTTAATTTTATACGATATATTTTATACTTATAACTATATTTTATATTTATTTATTCATTTTATGGCTTAAACGTAACTTTTTCTGCAGATAAAAAAGGAATATTTTACATTACGTAATTTCTTCCAATCATCAATTAATTATTTGTACAAATTATAAATTTTGTCTACGTTTTATAAAAATAAATAAACTATTTTATAGCAAATATATTATTCCTCAGCTCAGATACTGTCTCTCTGTACGTCTCTTTACTCAGCACTAGATAAATTTCTAATCTTTACTCAATCAGTATGAAATATTATTATTATTTTTCAGTTTCCAGAATTTGTAGTGCAAAAACAAACAAATTATGAACACATTTCAAACCTTGAAGATAATTTTTGCATCATCATATGTATGTATAACTTGATTAGTTGAAAATATGTTGAAAATTTTAATATCACAAGAAGTCACGAAATTTCATAATCATTTCGTCAATAATGAATCAACAAAAATAAATCCTTTTGAATAACATTTTATCATAAATGAATATTAAAAATATCTATTGATATATGTACGTGTATAAAAAGAATAGAACATAGGATATATATAATACGATTCTTATATAAATAAACTAGAGTATTGCTCTTTTTTAACGTATATATTTATACATGTTTTAAAATAGTGTATATTATTTATGAAAAATACTAAATTTGGTTGGACTTTATCTATTTTTTGAGCGTTTTTTTCTCCAGGCTCACACAATTAGTGCTAATTAAGAAATAATAAGGCAGCTTATTAACTGCCTGGATGATAGTTCGGAAGACGAAATCATTGTCGAATATGAATTATTGGAGCGGATTGAGGGTGTGGGAGGCCCATGATCGTAAATAGCAAACTGTGACTTGGCGTTACAGACTATGTACTTCCCAGCCAGGGGCGGATTTAGGATTGTTTAATAAATTCCTAAATAATTTATGCTTAAAATTTCGAATTTCAAAAAAATTATCGATTAGTTTCCGTTTATTTTTTTAATATTATAATAATTAAAATATAAATCAGACATCATTTTTATTGCAATTAATTTTTGTTTTGTCATCAATGATGCTTTTTACAGTTAAAGGGATAAATACTTTTAAAAAGTTGTTAATTTCTTTTGCAGATTATATAATTGACTGAATCATACGGAAATCAAAAATGTACATTCTAAGAAACCATTCAAGGTCCTCAGATTGTTCCACGAACAGCCGAAGGTCTTTATCCTTGAGCCTATGTTTTATTTCTCAAACGGGAAACAATGTATCGCCGGACCGCCCGAGGCTTTCTTCTTGATAACTAATGAAAGATATACTAAATTTATTAGTTTTCAACTTTCTTTTTTTATATTATATCTACTACTGAATTTTTTTCAAACTCGTAATATTTCCATAAAACACTAAAATTATTAGTAATTTTGTTCATTATTGTAATACTGTAATCATTTGCTTGGTAAAATAATTAAAATTTTGTAACGAAACGAGCCCATACTAAATCTAAAATTGATACCTGTCCTAAGGTGGAGATTTAGTCGCCATTGAGGGATTGAATAGAGCTCGGAACGAGCGGGGCGGTGTGTGGTGGTGGCGGGCGGCGGGAGTCACTTCGCAACGCGCCTACACCATCTCCATGGCTACGAGTGCGGCCCTGGGTGGCCTTGCAATGGTGTGGGGAGGGCATTAGCCCCGTGCACGCTATCAGTTCGCGTTTGCCAACATTTTTGGAGACGCGATTCTAGCGTTAATGTACGCTCTAACCCAGTTCAGAGACGTTCAGTTTTTATGGACGGCACGGCGATTAGCAACTGGACGTTATCCAATGTAGGGATGATGAAAAAAGTAACTCACGTCCCTTATATAAAGCGATGAATATTTGGACGTTTCATTTTAAGATCCAACTAAAATTAAAACGAGCTATGACTGCTAACAAAATAAGTGTATTCAAAAACAATCGCAAATTTTCAAGGCCATTGCATTCAGTTTTGTTCGTTTTTCTATTATATATTTATCTCCAGTCCTACTATATGAGCCTGGTCTACGAAAAAGCCTTATTTTTAAAAATTGCACTTTATTTTTTGATAGTGAATTTGCATAATAGTATATTAATGAGAAAAATTATCCAACAGGAATATGGCTTTTCCTACAAAGCTTCAGTATTAGGAACATAAAGGACTCAAAAGAATATCAAAGGAGAAATTACTTATACAGCCTTGGTTGCGTGCCGACAAAACCTATATCTAGGCGACAATGAAGCCAGCACAATAGCGGGGAAACCTTATATTAGACTGGATTCCGAGCTCGTGCTCAAACCAATATATTCTTTATTACCTCAGCAAGAAAGAATATTATCGTTTTTTATGATATTTTTCTGATGACACGACGTAAACAATAGTGCCATTCATCTATTACGTTGGTCGTGTAAAAGAAACGAAAAAGTATATCACTTAATTTTTATATTTCCACTTAATGTTAAATAATTATAAGGTACTAAACAAAACAAAATACTCGTAAATCTAAAAGGTTAAATAAATGTTTTATTGACATCACAATGTTTGAATTTTGGTTAGTCAAAACAAAATTATTACTAGAATACGAAAATCTTACGTATATTTTTATTTAAATTATTATTTTTCATTTCATCCAATTAAATTTCGCATATCAAAGTTGATTTGAAATCTCGAAATGAAGGCAAAGACAAATTACATTTTTAATTAAGTTTTGATAGTATAATATGTCTTTTTAGTGACTACATTTTACTTGTAACTTTTGATGTTATCAACAATACAATGGTCATAATTTTAACTTTTTTTTTTATTTTGCCCTGAAAAACATAAATACAAAAAGATCACCAACGTACTTATGTACACATTTTATAATATCAGTAAAGATTAAAACAGCTATTGTCATGAGTGTTTCCTCGCGTGCGTCCAGACTGTTTCCTTACAGATTTTGTGACTAGATTTTCCAGATTCGACGCTTTATGTAACTTATGTATAAGCAGAAGCTCTAAAGACATACTGAAACCCTACAATAATTTTTCCTTTCACCTCCATAATTTCGAAGAATTGTTTAGTAACATACTAATCGGTCGTGAGAATCTATTTATTGCTTTATTTTTATTCTGAAAATTTTACAAAATTTTATACTTAGAGTATACACGAATAACGACACCCATATTATAGCATCAAAATATAAATCTTATATACTATTGGGTTAATTATTTTATAACATTTATTATAAACACAGAGAAAAGAACAGAATTTTTCCCTTTATTCCAGATTACAATGTCGAATAATGCTCGCGTTGGTGTAACAGTAAGTTTTTCAATTCATTCTAGCTTTTTTGTTGCAGAAGCCATTTGAAAACGTCCTTCGAAATTCCAACGACCGCGTTCGTAACTGTTCTTAATGCCAAGTCTAGTTTAGCTTCCTTTGAGAAAGTTACAATGGATATTTTTCTGTTCTATTTTAACGTAGTTTTATTGAAAGACTCATTTTTGCCACCGACATCACTCGCGTTATATTTTGAATTTGGTATTTTTAAGTTTAACTTTCCGTGAATTCCAATGATTGAGGAATGAAACAAATGAAAAGAAATATATTTTTACTTTAGTGTTAAAATTCACACAATTTTGAGTTTTATAAAAAAGGACTTTAAGAAACATTAAGGTCTTCTTAAAAAATTATAGTTGAAATTCATTAAAGATTTTTAATGTAACATAGTTATTTTATAGTTAAATGTTAGTACGGCACTAGCTGTATCGATTTAAGCGCTCCTATAAATCCCCGGGCAAACGCAGTCCTTCATTTTATAAAATACGGATTTTTATAAATATACCAACGGATTTTTTTTTTGTGAATCATACAGTATTTTCGTATGAATTTTCATATTTTATTAAAAGTATATTTCTTTATCCTTGAAATACAAATTAAAAAAATATTTATTTGCAACATGACAAACCAATTTTATAACACTTATACATATTACATATAAAGAAGTATTTCAAAAGTCCTCAATGACAATTTGTAAATGCCAAACTTGCGAACCCCTTGGCCCTAGTAAGTAAGACTTTCGTGTGAATATTTTAAGGGCTTTGAAAATGACAAAAATATATTAAAAACTCTTATTAATATAGCAGATAGGAATTCTAAGTATAGATAAATTAAGTCATAGATCGGGAATGAGCAGATCCTGTGGTAGGATTTCCACTAGTCTCGCATTGTCCCAAATTGAAACGTTTCACCCCCGGGTGTGGGGAGGTCTGGCTATCCAGACCCGAACACGTGTAGGCTGATAGGTTGAAGGTCACAGAAATTTAAATGTGAATTAACAGAAAGATAAATTATAAAGTACATCAGACTGAGCCGAAAAAAAACATTGTTTTACTTCCATTTCATAATATAAGAAATTTTATTTCTAAAGTTTAGATTGGTTTATTTAATTACAAAATAAAATATGATACAAATATATTGTATGTATTTAAAAAATATTACTTTTTTTGAAAACGTTTATTGGCTACATGTTTCATAAAACAAAACTGGGAAAGTAAAACGTGACAAAAAAATATCTGTAGTATCACGACATAAAATAATTCATTTTATATTAATAATAAGAAGTAGGTAATAAAGATGTGATTTTTTGTTATTATTTAAATCAATTAGTAAAAATATTACAAAAAAATATTTTTATATTTTAATTCTTTTGTGGGTGTTGTGCATGATGAAATTACTGTTTCTCAGATCCAGTTTTAAAAGCTTCGCAATATTTCTATCTTATATTTAGTTTATGTAAATCAAAAGGCTCTTTTCTATAAAGGGTTACAATTTTATACCATAAATATGACTATTTCAGTGTATATAATATATTTATCAACTAAAAATTATCATTAATTGAAAGAAAACATATATTTTTCAAGTGAAAAACAAAATACGAAAATCTTTACGATAAATTTCCTTTAGGTTCACAACAAATTAATAAAATCAGAGTGTCTTGAAATCGTGATTAACTTATACAACGTCTTAAGAGAGGATAATCTTTGTTGGTACAAAAAACTTTGAAATGGGGTACAACTTTATCTTCACACACTTTTTGTGCGTTTAATTGTTCAGTCTTCGTATTTATAGCATTTTCTCAAAAGAGGCCTTAGACACACATTTTAATCAATATCGTTGTATTTTAAACTTTTTAGAATTTGATTAAGGGATTTTTTTGAAAAACAAATATGCCTTGAGTATAGTTACATTACAATTTTACAAAAGTATTCCTTTATTCTTTTGGAATAACAAATAAAGATTTTAACTAAAACACATATTTTAATAAATAAATATACGATTATCTCAGCAAATAAAGAAATTGCATATGTGCTCTTTAATAGTTTCATTTCCTATATAATTTGATATTAAATTAGTTTTCTTTCATAGTTTAGTTTATAAAACTCCCAATATTTTTTATTCACGGCTCTACTGTTACGTCTGAAATTTATTCTTGAGTCACTCACTTTGGAAGACTTAGGGAAGTAGTGAATGTTTTATTCCAACTTCTGAACAACCTAAATACAACTTAGTAGTTTTTGTGCGTATACCATTTCAGAAAACAGTTCTGATTTGTAATATTATTGAATTAATATGATAGAATGTAATATTAAAATCAAAACCTAGCCTAATCTAACTAAACTATTCGCTCTTGTCAATAATTTTAAAATTGCAGTAACTTTATATGAATTTAAAAGTATAAATGATAAATGCGTTACGTGCTAATTTAAAAACTTATAATCCATTTGTATCTTTAAGGGACGGAGGTGTGAATTCGTCTAGACGGCCCTATAACTTGGGTTCTGGTGAGGCCGCGCGGCCTTGAACTTTGAGATGACTTAAAGAAATGAACCACAATACATTTTAAGTAAGCCATAATCATACGCTTACATAATTAGTGAAGACAGTTGGATTTGTGTTACTTCATTAACAGTGTTACACCTCGAATACATGATAACGAATCTTAATTTAAAATCTGAGTTATACTATTTTTTATCTTTTCACAAACTCACCCAAGAGCGTCATTCGATTGACATCCAAAACTAGAAGCAACATATAATTAACTAATAAATTAGATTTAAGCTGAAATACATAAATAAGTTCAGCCGGTTCCTAAACAAAAAGAAACTGAAATAAACAAGGTCGGGGAATCAACACCGTCGCCGCCGCCATAAAGACCGACGGCCGTCCTTGAAATTGGGGGGTTCTTACAAATTGGGTTATTACAGTGCGTGTAGGCGTGGGTGGATGAGACGAGATGGGGGAAAGAGAGGGTGACATCGGATTCGGGGGTGCCTTTGAGGATGAAAAAGGATGGAAGACCGGGTGGGCGTACCTCCGCTTTGCCTCCTCGGCACGCCTCTCCAGGAAGACTCCCGCTCCAGACTGGGGTTCCGGCGCCGATCATTATAATTACTCTCCAAGGTGAGCCGAGCACCGGCAGCTTAATCTAGGGAAAGCAACTCTATCGGGACCTCACCCACATCCCAGTCATAATACGATCACGGAGCATTGAAATACTTACCGTCTGACTATCGGTTCTGTGGAGTTAATTAGAGGCTTGCATGGTTACAAGGTATTGGATTATAACTAACAAATTATAAACATTCTTTTGCTCGCTAATTATAAAAACCAGTCCAATGAAACGACATCA